TACAATTGGAATCCAAAACCCATGGACTCACAGAGCCAATAATTCCTCATTGAATCTGAAAAAGCAAAGCCATGGCTACATATCTATAATCCTAATAAGGAAGAAAGTTGCATCTGTGCTTAAAAATCTGGTGACTTTTTAGCACATGAAATCAAGATAGTGAAAGGCCATACTCCAGATTGATAGAATGAGACCTCCCAAACAGCATCAGAGGCTACATTTGGATCCCATGCCTTGGCCAAGTGAGGTCCACAATAATAATTAACTGCTAACATCACCCACAGCTCACTGGTGCTGGGCACTCTCTTAAGTGCCAGATGTGTACTATTTCATTTAATGCTTAGAACAACTCCATGAGATGGATAGTCTTACTGCCTCCATTTTACAGGAGAAGAGGAGGCATAGGGAGTTTCAAACTTGCCCACTGTCTCACAGTCAGTAGTTGCTTGCCTTGCATGCACACAACTTTGGGTTCAATCCCCAGCAACACACACACATACACACAAAACTAACAGTAGTTGCGATGGGACTCGAAGTCAGGCAGGCTAGTTCCAGAGCTGGTGCTCTTGACCACCAACGTATATTGAGTGTTGTTCTGAAATTCCCCCTTCCCCTTCTTAAATATCTGACTGACCAGTGGAATCGTAGGTACAAGCAGTGGCATGAATAGCCCCAGAAAGGCAGGTGCAAGGATTCCTTGCAGGCCACTTGGGCTTAGGTGGTGAGCAACAATGGAACTGGCCTGGGCCTGACCTGACTGAGGTCCTCCAGAGTTGCCCCTTCTAGCTGTGATGAATGAGCAGAACTAAGGGCCAGGCTCTGTGAGCTCTGTCCTGAAAGAAAAATAAGATGAAAAATGACAGATATGTTTCCCAGGGCAGCAAATCCATGACTATATCCACAGGGCAATGAGACTCAGTACCCTTGCCTGTGTCTACCTGCATGTTTTGTTTTTTTTTGGGTGGGGGGCGGTGCTGTGGATTGAACTCAGGGGCACTCAGTCACTGAGTCACATCCCCAGCCATATTATTTAGAGATAGGGTCTCACTGAGTTGCTTAGCTTCTCAATTTTTTCTGAGGCTGGTTTTGAACTTGTGATCCTCCTGTCTCAGCCTTCCAAGCCCCTGGGATTACAGGCGTGTGGCACTGTGCCCAGCAAATCTGTTATTTTTTTAATTTTTAAATTTCTTTCATGATATATTAGCTAACATTTATTGATCTTTATAGCCTACACTGTATTAAATGATTTCCACTCTGTCCCTTTGTCATCCCCATTTTATAGATATTAAAAAGCTTACCCAAGGTAACCCAGCTAATAGGTAGCTGAGCCAGGACTCAGACCCATGTTTTTTGTTTGTTTTCCCTTTTTTTCTGAGTTTTATTCTACCACGCGGCCTGCGCAATGGTTTCATTAATGAGGTTCTAGGCATAAAGTTAGTTAGAAGAGATCGAAATAAAACCCAAGACTCAGTTACCTTATTTCTATTGCTAGGTCTGAGAAGGCTCCCTTCTCTGGTTCACTCCTCTAACCGCCCAGCAGGGCAGCAGGGATTACTCAGGGCTAGCAGGAGAGAGAGAGAGTGAACATGCTAGGAACTAGCCTTTTATTAGGGAACAAGAGATTCAGGGGAGAATTCCATCCAGTGAAGGTTGAGGGGGGGCTGCACTCCAAGGTCAGTGATTGGGTCTCAGGGGTCAGTGGTCAGGCACACCCCTACACGGATGGGCTCTCTCATCAGGAAAGGGTCGGAAAACTTCGACATAGCCAAAAGTGCCTCAGGCCCTTAACGGGAGTCACCCAATCACGTGTTAGAATGGCTTCCCACATTTTATTACTTTAAATTTTATCTTCTGAAATATTTCAAGCATATGCAGGAAGAGTAGACTTGTATAGTGAAGCACCATGCCATACTCATCACCCAGCTTCAAAAGTCATTAACATTTACTTACCTACTAGTTTCATCTGTCCCTCCCCCATTTTAAAAAATATTTTAAGGCAGGAGCTAGGGCTGTGGCTCAGGGGTAGAGCACTTGCCTAGCATGTGTGAGGTACTGGGTTAGATTCTCAGCACCACATAAAAATGAATAAAAAAATAAATAAAAATTTAAAGACTATTTTAAGGCAAACCTCAGATTTTTATTTATAAAAATTTCATTGTATGTTCTTTACTGATTGAGTTTTTAAAAAAACTACCATGCCATTAGCACACATAATAAAATCAATACCTGTTTCATAATATTAGTTAAAGTTTATCCACTTTTAATTTTCTCTATTTGTGTAGAGGTATTTTTTTCACTGTTTATTTATTCAAGTCTGTATCCAAACAGTTTTACACATTGCATTTGATGTTTATTAAGTCAGCTGTAGTCTTTAACAGTCACCTTTTCTGTCCCCAAGCTCACATACTTTTTTCCTTTGTCATCAGCTTTTTTTTAGAGAGAATTTTGTTAATATTTATTTTTTAGTTTTTGGTGGACACAACATCTTTATTTTATTTTGTTTTTATGTGGTGCTGAGTTTCGAACCCAGCACCCCGCGCATGCCAGGTGAACGCACTACACTTGAGCCACATCCCCAGCCCCTGTCATTAGTTTTTCACATGGACTTTTTTTTTTTTTTTTTTTTTGGTCCATTAGGGTGGATTTGTCTGATTACTTCCTCTTTCTGAGCCCAGCATCCTGATGCTCTCAGTTACTTCATTATACTTTTTCTCACTATTCTCCATAGATGTGAGAAAGAAATAAAAACATACAAATATATGTTTTAGTTATACAGGCATTATTGAAATCCTGGGCGGTTTTATACTTTTATATTGCATATTCTTTTGACTGGATTTTCAGATTCATCTGTCATCAAATAGCTTTTCTGAGTTATGAGCAGGCTTCATAGTAACTATAAGATCAATTTGTCAAGGGCTCCAGAAATCTAGTCCTTCAATTCTGGTTTTAATACCCTTAAAGCTTGGTTTCCTGAGATGCTCTCTAAGTATAGATTTGGTTGGATAAAGGTGCTGTGAAAAAATTTATGAAAAAATTTATAGAAAAATCTAAGAAATTAATTGAAAGACTATTAGAACTAACAGAATGAGTCCAACGTATTTGCAGATCAACATATAAAAAATCAATTATTTCTGTATAGTAGTAAGAACCAAACAGAAATTAAGAAGAAACCAACTTCATTTACAATAGCATCAAAAAGAACAATAACAAACATAGTTAGGAACAAATTTGACCAAAAAAATTAAAAATTGTACATTCTAAAAACTATAAAATGTTGTTTAAAAAAAACCCCTAAAGCCTAAATAAATCGAAAGAAACCCCATATTCATGGATTGGAAGACACTATTAAGATGGTAAACTTGATCTACAGATTTAACAAAATACTTCTCAAAATCCTAGCTGGTTTCTTTGTAGAAATTGACAAGCTGGCCCTAAAATTCATATGGATATTCAAGGGATCCAGAATAGTCAAAACAATCTTGAAAAAGAACAAAACTGGATGACTCATACTTCAATTAATATAGACCAACAGTACCTACAACACAGTGGCATAAGAATAGGCATATACATCAGTGGAACAGAATAAAGAGTATTGAAATAAACCCTTACATTTATGTTCAGTAGATATAGGGTGACAAGACAATTCAATGGGGGAAAGAATAGTCTTCTCAATAATGCATATTGGAACAACTGAATGATCATATGCAAAAGAATGAGGTTGGAACACTACCTAACCCCATACATAAAAATTAATTCAAAATGGTTAAAAAAAAAAAAAACCTTAAGTAGGGGCTGAGATATAGTTTAGTTGGCAGAGTGCTTGCCTAGCATGCACAAGGCCCTGAGTTCAATCCCCAGCACCACCAGGAAAAAAAAAAAAAAAGTAGGGTCTAGGTACAGTGACACATGTCTGTGATCTCAATGACTTGGGAGGCTGAGACAGGAGAATCACAAGTTTGAGGCCAGTCTTGGCAACTTAGTGAGTTGCTCAAAAAAAAAAAAAATTAAAAGAGCTGAGGATGTAGATCAGTGGTAAAGTGCCCCTGGGTTCAATCCCAAGTACCTCCCATCCCCAATAAAGAATACCCACTAAAGGTAGGAGCTGGGGAACTCAGTAGCAGAGAGCTTGCCTAACATGGCTAGGGAGGCCGAGTCAGGAGGAGCATGAGTTCAAAGCCAGTCTTAGCAACTTAGCGAGGCACTATCTTTAATAATTGCCAATGTCTCGGCTTGGCACTGAATCACGAGCCACTCACAGCTTTGTAGATTCAAACAGCAATTCTTTATTCCCGAACTCACACCGGCCCTGTACAAACACGTTCTGGGGAAATCCCAGTTTTGCCCCGAATTCATATCCCCACGAGGCTTTTTTCCAAAATACTTTCTGAATCTCACGAGAACTCAATGGGAACTCAAGGATCGGCGTGCCTGAGGCAGCAGAATGCGCCCTATTCCCCCGCAGGGTACACCTTAAACCTGGAACTTCCCTAAACTCAAGGACGGGATACTCCCTAAAACCTGATCAGCTCTAAACCGGGATCCGCCCTGGTCTTTGAGCAAGGTCACCTTACTAAAGCATACATGCAATGTCCCATCGAATGTCCTCTAAGCAACAGGGAGTACGCTGGCAAGGAAATTTCGATGTGTCATTCCTAATTAGCAATGGCCCTCAGCAAATAATAATAACAGTGAGTAGTTCATAGAAAGCGCATTTCTATGAGATCCTATCTTTAATAATAATAACAATATATAATAATATATATTATATATAATATACCTAATTCCATACATTAAAAATTAATTCAAAATGGTTAAAAAAAAAAACACCTTAAGTAGGGGCTGGGGATATAGTTCAGTTGGCAGAGTGCTTGCCTAGCATGCACAAGGCCCTGAGTGCATGCTAGGCAATGCTATATATATAACTATATAACTATATATATATATATATATTATTATGTATATAATTTATATTATATATATGGCTGGGGATGTGGCTCAGTGATTAAGCACCTCAGGGTTTAATCCCAAGTACCAAACAGAAAACTACAGTGAGATACCACTTCATACCCATTAGGATTACAAAAATGAAGTAAAAAACAGAATATAAAATGTACTGGTGAGGATATAGAGAGAATTTGGAATTCCTGAACCCTGCCAAGTGGGAATGTAAAATGACGAAGCTGCTTTGGAAAAGTTTGTTGGTTCCTCAAAAAGTTATACATAGAATTACCATATGATCCAGAAATTGCACTCATAGATATAAATCCAAAAAAATCAAAAGTAAGGATCCAGGCAGATTCTTAAATAAAAGTGTTTTTTTAGAATTTTATATAATAACCCAAAAGTGGAAAAAATCCAATGTCAATCAACAGATGCATGGATAAACATTTCTTTATTTTACTGTAAAAAAAATTCTGATACATCCCATCACATGGATAAATCTTGAAAACATAAGTGAAATAAGCCAAATACAAAAAGACAAATATGTGGTTACACCCACATGAGGCATTTAATATCAGCAAATTCATAGAGACAGGGAGTAGAATAGAGGACACCAGGGACTGAGAAGGGGTGGGATTGGGGAGTTATCACTTAATGGGTAGAGTTTGTTTCTATCGGGGATGATAAAAAAAAAAGGTTATGTCATAGGAGAGTGTTGGGTGTGTGGGGCAAGGAATATACTGGAATTCTATACTTTACAATTTTGCTGTGAAGCTAAAGTTACTCTAAAAATAGGCTTAAACAATATTCTGGAAACAGTACTACTCAAAATTTTAAACAACATTGTGAGTGTGCCTGGTACCACCGAATTTCACACTGAAAAATGGTTAATGGTAAATTTTATGTGTTTTTACCACATTTGCAAAATAAGAGAAATTCTAGTAACTATTCAAAGCTTTTTTTTTTTCATCCAGCTATATGATTCTGAATTAAATATTGCTTAATTGTTGTTTGGTTGTTATTCTTATCTTTACTTCTCTTACAGTCCAGATTGTAGTTGGGCACAATCCTTTATTTTTATGTGGTGCTGAAGCTGGAACCCAGAGCCTCATATGTGCCAGGTAAGTGCACTAAGCCACAACCCCAGTCCTGAAAACTGTGATTCTAAACAAGGGAGAATGGATGGAAAAGAGCACATGATTATTCTTGTTTCATATCACATATTCTATCCTTCTGGGCAAGAATATGGAAGAATCCCTCCCTGGAAACAGAGTTCTTCGACTAGCCAGGAACCTCCACATTTACCCTCTGTGGGGAATCTTCTTTACCATTCACCATGGTTCCTAGGTCCTCCTAATAGACAAAGAACCTGTCTCTACTCCAGGGCTGTGCCAGAGACGGGCGCAGACCGGGAAATGCGCTTTCTATGAACTACTCAACTGTATCAGTGAGACGGGTTGGGAACCTAGGAATACAAAAGACTCTTTCTCTCTGCGTCCTGACTGTGGTGTCCCAAGCTGCTTTCTTCTACCATACCCTTTGGCCATGATGTTCTGCCTCACCTCGGACTCGAAGCTACAGTGTTGGCCAACCATGGACTGAACCTTTGAAACTGTGAACTGAAATAAACTTTTAATTCCTTTTTGGGGAAAAAAAGTCAACAAAAGTTTACTTAGGGGCTGAGGTTGTGGCTCAGTGGTAGAGCTCTTGCCTAGCATGTGTGAGGCCATGGGTTCAAGTCTCAGCACCACATATAGATAAAATAAAGGTTTATTTACAACTAAAATAAATATATATTTTTTAAAAAGTTTATTGAGAAGACTCCCCCCAACTCAGTTAACTTCATGTTAAAAGTATTTTAACTTTATGTTAAAAGTATCCCCAGTCTATTAGGTCTTCACCTCACCTTTGTGTATTTCTTGGGAGAAGAGTTAGTAATTTACTAAGTAAGCTGTTACGTTCCCAGCACACTTGTGTAGATTAATAAAGAATGAAAGTAGCATCAGTAATCAAATCTAAAATTCAGAGTCATTTTCTTTTAAGTTTAAGTAAGATAGTTCCTTAGAAACTTGAAGCAGCTGATTTTCAGGGTGCACGAAGCTAAAAGACAGTGACATTAAGTCTAAGAAAAGACACAACTGTAATAGGCACAAAGCTTCCTTATTCTGCTTTCATTTCCGTTCTCCCACGTCATTCAGGAATCGTTTCCTCATTTTAAAAAAACTTATTTATTTATTTTTATTATTTCTTACAAACATCACATTAGAGGAGTGCATTACATTCATAATTTTTTGCATTGCAATTCTTAATACACCCTTATACCACAATTTATCAAATCTCTGTTTGTATATAAGGTATGTTGACCCCAAATTCACATCTTCCTACATGAATTTTGTATAATGATGAGGGTCTCCTTTCATTATCCATGCTATTCCCCTTCTCCCTCCCTTTCCCTCCCACCCCTATTCCCTATCTAGAGGTAATCTTCCTCCCTTGCACTCCCTCCCAACCCCATTTTGAGTCACCCCCCTTATATCAGAGAAGACATTCGGCATTTGTTTTTTTGGGATTGGCTAACTTCACTTAGCATAATCTGCTCTAATGCCATCCATTTCCCAGCAAATGCCATGATCTTATTAATTTTTAGTGCCAAGTAATATTCCATCGTGTATGAATGCCACATTTTTTTTTATCCATTCATCCACTGAAGGACATCTAGGTTGGCTCCACAGTTTAGCTACTGTGAATTGTGATGCTATAAACATTGATGTGGCTGTGTCCCTGTAGTATGCTGTTTTTAGGTCCTTAGTCCGAAAGAGGAATAGCTGGGTCAAATGGTGGTTCCATTCCCAGCTTTCTAAGGCATCTCCATACTGTTTTCCATATTGGCTGCCCTAATTTGCAGTCCCACCAGCAGTGTATGAGTATACCTTTTCCCCTGCATCCTCACCAACACTTGTTGTTTGTCTTCATAATGGCTGCTATTCTTACTGGGGTAAGATGGTATCTTAGAGTAGTTTTGATTTGCATTTCTCTGATTGCTAGAGATGATGAGCATTTTTTCGTATATTTGTTGATTGATTGTATATCCGCTTCTGAGAAGTGTCTGTTCAGGTCCTTGGCCCATTTATTGATTGGATTATTACATTTTTTTGTGCTTATCTTGTTGAGCTCTTTATATACTCTAGAGATTAGAGCTCTATCTGATGTGTGAGGGGTAAAAATTTGTACCCAGAATATAGGCTCTCTATTCACCTCACAGATTATTTCTTTTGCTGAGAAGAAACTTTTTAGTTAGAATCCATCCAATTTGTTTTTTTTTTTTTTTTTTTTTTTTTTTTTTTTTTTTTTAAAGAGAGAGTGAGAGAGAGGGGGACAGAGAGAGAGAGAATTTTTAACATTTATTTATTTTTTCTTAGTTCTCGGCGGACACAACATCTTTGTTGGTATGTGGTGCTGCTGAGGATCGAACCCGGGCTGCACGCATGCTAGGCGAGCGCGCTACCGCTTGAGCCACATCCCCAGCCCCCATCCAATTTGTTAATGAAATAATGTTAGAAAACTTTCCAGGCATGAAGAATGAAATGGAAATCCAAATCCTAGAACCCTACAGGATGCCAAATGTGCAAAATCACAAGAGATCCACACCAAGACACATTATAATGAAAATGCCCAACATACAGAACAAGGAGAGAATTTTAAAAGCCACAAGAGAAAGGAAGCAGATTACATTTAGGGGTAAACCAACTAGGTTAACAGCTGATCTTTCAATACATACTCTGAAAGCTAGAAGATCCTGGAACAACATATTTCAAACGCTGAAAGATAATGGGTTCCAACCCAGAATCTTGTATCCAGCAAAATTAAACTTCAGGTTTGAAGATGAAGTAAAAACCTTCCCAATAAACAAAAGATAAAAGAATTTGCAGCTAGAAAACCGGTGCTTCAAAAAATCCTTGGCAAAACATTACATGAAGAGGAAATGAAAAATAACAATGAAAACCAACAGTGAGAGGTAGTACAGTAAAGGAAAAAACTAATCAAAGAGGAAAAACAAATCATGTTTCCTCATTTTTGATGTAAGGGTGCCAGTGTTCTAGATAAGATTTAATATTGTGCTGTTGAGACTTTGTTTTTTGCTTTTAACTGGATTAAGTTTTGAATAGTAAATGTGCTCCATTTGGGGGGAGTTTACTGTGTAAAAATCTGATTTATAGCTTTAAAATATTACCAGATGTTTTTGTTTGTTTGTTTACTGTACTGGGGATAAAACCCAGGGGCACTGCATCATTGAGCTACATCCCCAGCCCTTTTTATTTTGAAACAGAGTCTAAATTGCCCAGATTGGCCTCAAACTTGTAGTTTCCTGTTTCAACCCCCTGATTAGGGAGATCATAGGTGTGCACCATTGCACCCACATAGGATGGCTTTTCAGTTTATAAAATACTTTAAGTGGAAACAGGGATAGATTATCTATTGCATGTTCCTGAATTATATTCAAATACTGTATTTTTTATATGTTTATTTTATTTACTTATTTATATGTGGTATTGAGGATGGAACCCAGTGCCTCGCACGTGCTAGGCGATCACTCCACTGCTGAGCCCCATTCCTGGCCCCTGTATTTTTTTTTAACAAACTTTAATATACCAGGAAGAGATTAAAAGAAGCTGGGAAACCTAAGGTTAAGAGCTTCAGAAGCCACTGTCAAATGGTAATGAATCAGAAGGAAGGATAAAATATATAGAATATTATAATCAGGAAAATTAATCCTAGGAATATTTTTTAGTTGTTGCTGAAACATGTGTTCAGCTACAGAACAATATGAAGATAAGAGGGAATTCTGTATTTTCAACTTAGCTGGTAAGATAAAATTGTCTTTTGTGATATGAATAGAGAATATGGTTAAAATATCAAAGTAGGATTTGTAAGGGTCACGAAAGCATAGATGGAGGAAAGATGAGTGAGGCCGAAGGGGCCACATCTGCAGAGGCTGTTTTTGAAGTGAATCTTTCAGGATAGAGAGGCCAAGGAATCGAAAAAGGCATTCCCAAAGGAGGAAAGTTGGGAAGCCCATGACCAGCGTGATTACAGGAGAGAGTGAGAGTTAGAAAAACAAAAACCAAAACTGCTCTAAGTTGAGTAAAATGCTCAAGAAAGGCTGGATTGTGGGGAAGAAAGCTAGAGAGGCAGAACACTGGACTTTCACGCAGCAGGCAACGGAAAGCATCTGTAGAAAACGACAGGATAAAAATGTGTTTAGGAAAACAATTTGTCTATGATTTGAAGGATGAGATTGCACAATAAACAGAATTGAAGGCTGTTGAAATAAGTCAGTAAATATTTATTGAGTATCTATAGTATCATTTCATTTTATACTGCAGAAGATAAAAAGGTGAGTAAGATATACATAACTCTGGTACTTAAAGGGCTAGTGGATGTATAACATGTAAGTCAAAGACACAAATAATTGTATGGGGCAGAAAATTAAGACAATAATTTTTCTGTTTTCAGAGTCATGAGTCTGCTAGAAGAAAGCCTCAAAGCACTGTAGAGGCTCAAGAGTGACATCCAGAAGGGGATGAAGGTTTTTTTTCAGAGATGTTTTCTGAGATGGGCCATGAAGGAGGAGGATTTCAAGAGACAGAGATGAAAGAAGGAAATTCTATGGGCTGGGGTCATAGCTCAGTGGTAGAGCGCTTGCCTAGCACACGTGAGGCACTGGGTTCGATTCTTAGCACCACATATAAGTAAGTACATAAAGGTCAATCAACAAGTAAAAAAAAAAAAATTAAAAAAGAAAGAAAGAAGGAAATTCCAGAGGGGGCAGGCAACATGACACTGATGGGAAACTACCTCTTTTAAAATAGGTTCAATCCCAGGTCAGAGATCAGTTCTGTCCTCTTGGACAATTTATATAATCTTTTAGAACTTTAATTTCTCTTCTGTAAGATGAGGATAATTAGTGTCCCTACTTCATAGAGTTGTGTAACTATCGTGAACAATAATGCAGGAAGAGTATAGCATGTTCACTGGCATATACTGGTCATCCAACAAATGTTAGCTAGGACTGTTATAATAAGGTGAGTAAACAGTGCAGAAGGTAGGCTGGGGCCGGGGCTCGTGGTAGAGCGCTTGCCTAGCATGTGTGCGGCACTGGGTTCCATCAACAGCACCATGTAAAAATAAGTAAATACACGTATTAAAAAAAAAAAAAGTGTAGAGGGTGATAAGAATAGATGATCTGGGAACATGAAGAAGTTCAGTTGCTTTATGTATAAAATTCATGTGTGAGGGTAGTGAAGTGAGGCTATAAAATACAGGGTGATGCTTTTTTGTTAAAGAATTTGGAATGCTAGAATAAGAACTTTTTGTTGTTTTCTCCTACTGTACATTGAACCTAGGGGTGCTGTGTCACTGAGCTGCATTCCCCACCACCACCTCACGCCCTTTTAAAATTATTTTTTGTTGTTGTTTTGAGATAGGGTCTCACTAAATTACTGAAGCTGACCTCATGCTTGCAATCCCCCTGTCTCCACTTTCCAAGTACTGAGATTATAGGTGTGCACATCCACACCTGGTAGGAATTTGTTCTTAAATTAGTTGGCAATGTGGAATCACTGAAGAGTTCTTTTTTTTTTAATTTTTAATTTAATTTATTATTTTATTTTGGTACAGGGGTTGAACCCAGGGGCACTGAATTACATCCCCAGCCCTTTTTTATATATTATTTAGAAAGAGAGTCTCACTGAGTTGCTTAGGGCCTCACTAAATTGCTGAAGCTGGCTTTGAACTCATCATCCTCCTACCTCAGTCTCCAGAAGTGCTAGGATTACAGGCATGCACCACTGCACCCAGCTCAGTGAAGAATTCTTAAGACAGAAAATATTTTGATCAGACTTCTATTTTTGGAGGAAATGATGAAGATTTAGACCTGTTTGTCTGATATAGTAGCCATTAAATACAAATAGCTAGTGAGCACTTAAAAAGTCCAAATTGAGATAGGTTATAAATTTAAAATGTACAACAGGATTTTGAAGACAGAAAAAAAAGAATCTCACTGATAATTTATTGATTATGTGTACAAATGATAATATTTCAGTTATATTGAATTAAATAAAAATTTTTACTTGCTTTTTTCCTTTCTTTAACCATTTAAATAACCTTCCTTAGAAATTAAAATTGGCTTGCACTATATTTCTAGTGGATAGCACTGTTCTACAAGTGGTAGAAGATGATAAAATAGTAAATAGGCATTCAGAAACTTGCCCTTAAAATATAATAAACTAGGTAATTCAGACCAGCCTGCACATTGAGGGCAAGTAGAAAAGCTGGACAAAATTTTAAAAAGCTCTCAGAGACTTAAAAGAGCAATGAGGACTATTTGAGACAGATTAATGGCTTGAATTGTACCTCACTATTATATATAATTATAATGAATTTAATAAAAACATTAAAAATCCAAAAGCTTGAATGGCATTGCAGTTTTGAACAGTGATCATGAGATATTTGATCAGGGGATAGCCAGTACCTCCCTAGATCTAGTAGAAATTTCCATATGGATCTTTCTGTACAATGTTTTCACTCTAGCTATAGTAAACTTACAAAAATGAATCCTTAAGTTTTCTTTTTTCTTTTTTTTTTTTTTTAGATTCAAACAGCAACTCTTTATTCCCGAACTCACACCAGCCCTCTACAAACACGTTCTGGGGAAATCCAAGTTCTGCCGCAAAATTCACGAATTCCACCAGGCTTTGAATCTCCTTAAGTTTTCAATAATAATAATAATAATAATAATAATTTATTGCTTGCATTCAATCAAGAAATATTTTTAGTATCTCCTCTATACCAGGTTTGGTTTTAGCTAACCCTAACCCTCCCTTCTTCCCACCACCTGTTCTCTCTCCTCTATTGATCTCCCTTTGTTTTTCATGAGATCCCCATCCCCCATCTTTCTTTGCTTTTTTCCTCTCTAGTTTCCACATATGAGAGAAAACGTACGACCCTTGACCTTCTGAGTTTGGCTATTTCCCTTAACATATGGTCTCAAGTTCCATCCATTTTCCTGTGACATAATTTCATTTTTCTTTATTGATGAATAAAACGCCATTGTGAATATATGCCACCTTTTCTTTATCCATTCATCTGTTGGTGCACATCTACAGCCTGGGCAATTTAGTAAAATCCAGTCTCAAAATAAATTAAAAAGAGTTAGGGCCGGGCACTGTGGCACACACCAATAATCCAGTGTCTGGGGAGACTGAGGTAGGAGGATCAAAAATTCAAAGCCAGCCTCAGCAACTAGTGAGGCCCTGAGTAACTTAGCAAGACCCTATCTCAAAATAAAATATAAAAAGGGCTGGGGATGTGACTCAGAGGTTACACACCCCTGGGTTAAATTCCTGGTACCAATTTTTTTTTTTTTTTAAATGGGGGGATGTGGGCTGGGGATGTGGCTCAAGTGGTAGCGCGCTGGCCTGGCATGTGTGTGGCCCAGGTTCGATCCTCAGCACCACATACAAAGATGTTGTGTCCGCCAAAAACTAAAAAATAAATATTAAACAAATGGGAGGATGTAACTCAGTAGTACAGTGTCCCTGGGTTCAATCCCCCATATCCCCACCCTGAAAAAGTATCTTTTTGCCTGTCACACCAGCAGCCTCAGGAATCAGTTACTTTTCATATCCTCTCTATTGAATTAAAGATTGATAATGATAAAATCCGGGTGTGTTTTAGTGAAAGACAACATAATATAGTGACTAAGAGCATGAACTCTCATGCCAAACTGCTTAGATTTTTAATCTGCCTTTTCCATTCAACTAGCAGGGTGTTTTTGGGCTAGGACAAGGAAATTGTAAAATACGGAAAATGATAATCTCTAACTCACAGAACTTTTGTGATGATGAAATGAGTTAATATATGTAAAGTACTTTGAACAATGCCTAGCCAGTGTCAGATTTATAGTTTGCTACCACTGTTGTATTCATGAGATTGAAATTCAGATCCAAAATTCAGTCAATTGAGTCCGAGTCTAGGGAGCTGAGGAAACATTGAAGTTGAATCTATTATGCTTGGCGTAGCATTTCTTCTACTGTTTTTCATTGTATAAGTGTAGTTTTCCAGCTGCATTATGGATTAGATAGGTTTTTAAATTTTATTTTAATTTTTAAAAAATTTGTTCTAAACCGGATGCGGTGGCGCATGCCTGTAATCTCAACTGCTCAGGAGGTTGAGACAGGAGAATTGGGAGTTTCAAAGCCAGCTCAGCAACAGCAAGGAGCTAAGCAACTCAGTGAAACCCTGTCTCTAAATAAAATACAAAAAAAGAGCTGGGGATGTGGCTCAGTGGTCGAGTGCCCCTGAGTTCAATCCCTAGTACCCATAAATAAATAAATAAAATTTGTTTTAATTAGTTAAACATGACAGTAGAATGCATTTTGACACACATGAAGAACACCTTCTCCCTCTGGCTGAACATGGTGCTTAGATAGGCTTTTATTGGCATGTCTAATACACTAATCGCAGCATTCTGATACCTCTGTAGGGCAGTGTATTCTGGTCCTAAACAACCTCCTTACAATGTCTTTTAGAACACATTTTTACAAGTTGGAAACTATTGTATCGACAGGAACTAAAATACACTGAGTTAAAGAAAGGTATTACTGTTCCAGCATTTAAATTTCACAAATAAAATGAAGTTGTTGTCATTCATCTATAGCCTTAAAAGCACTTTAAGGACCTTCCTCTGCCTTTTGGTTTTGCTGATTTACTTACTAGGTTTGGTAAAATGTGAAAAGGAGAAATTATTTAGAGGAAAGTTGGTCTCTCCGGATGGAACGCTGTGCTCATGTGTTCCCATTTCTAATGTCTGTGTCATAGTGCCCACTTTTCCATCACTTCCTTCCCCAATGATCTTGCCTTTCCAAGTTCCAGTTTCCTCATTCATAGACTAGTGATATCCCTGCTACCACTACCACTTCATAGGTCATTGTAAAGATCAAAAGAAATAAAAATGTGTTTGAGAGAGCTTCAGTGACTTGTACTTTGCCTGGTACAGAAGATGCACAATATCTATTTGTAAATCATTAAAATATGTCCACTTTGGCACTTCCCATTTATATATCTACTGGAAGGTTCCTATTTGCAGGGAAAATAACATTTTGAGAGAAGAAAGCCAATTTAATATGGTTTCTAGAAAGCACTATCAATTTTGCTGCAATTTCTTTTCAAAAAAGAATACTGCCAAAGAGGTTCAACAGCCTTTATTAAATCCAAAGGAAATATACAATAGGGCTGGGGTTGTGGCTCAGTGGTACATCGCTCACCTAGCATACATGAGGCACTGGGTTTGATTCTCAGCACCATCTAAATATAAAATAAAGGATACTGTGTCCACCCAAAACTAAAAAATAAGTATTTAAAAGAAATATAAAACATATCCTTTAGACTAGGGATGTGGCTCAGTGGTACAGTGATTTCTTAGCATATATGAGGTTCAACCTCCAGCACTGTCATCAAACAAAGTAAACCAATAAAACCAAAAATATAACCTCTAAGTTCTTTCCTTTGCTTCTTGAATTAGCACCTTAGACCATTGATTTTCAGCCATTCTTCTTTTCTAATATAATGCATTGAAAAATCTAAATTTCTTTCTAAGCACAGCTTCAGTTGTATTCCACAAGTTTTGATGTTATACTTTTATTTTTGTTCAGTTCAAAATATTTTGTAACAATAATGTGTATTTCAAAAAGCTAAAATAAATGATTTGTAATGTTTTCATCATGAAGAAATGATAAATGAGGAGACAGATATATTTATCCTGATTTAAACATGAATACAGGGGCTGGGGATGTGGCTCAAGCGGTAGCGCGATAGGCTGGCATGTGTGCAGCCCGGGTTCGATCCTTAGCACCACATACAAACACAAAAAATAAATATTAAAAAAATTCTCTCTCTCTCTCTCTCTCTCTCTCTCTCTCTTAACAAACAACATTAAAAAAATAAATAAAAAAAACATGAATACA